AAATAATGTAGAGTTAATAATACAGCTTCTGTGTTTCTTGCTGTGATCATAATATAGGCTTTTTACCTGAATGATTGGCATGAAATAGAATTGTGACAAAGCTTTGTCAATGAAATCCCCCGCAAAGAATCCCTCATCCTTCAGTTCTGCCAGGAGCGTGATCCAGGAATCGATTCCTTCTTTTCTCATCACTCCCCACCAGCTCTCAATTCTCTGGTTTGCAGTACTTACCCCTGTGATGTAGCTCCTCTCTGCTGCTCTGTCATCCACGTAATTTCTTCATAAATACCGCTGAATGTCTTTGACTGCCACGTTCTCAGTACCCATGTCAGTTCGTACGAGCCTGGGGCAGCCCCCACAGCACTCCACTGCCTCCACAAAGTACCTGCTGATAACTTTCGGGTCGCTGTTAGTATGGGCGGCCTGCGGCCAAATGATGTTGCGTGAGAACCCGTTGATGCAGCCATTAATGCATATCCCATATGGCTTCAATTTGTCATATGACCCATATGTGCCATACAAAGTTTGGTCCCTGAGCTATGTATTGCCTCCTTCTGAGATGTCTGGTCTGGCAAACTTGGGAACCGATGGGGTCCAGTAGAGAGAGGAGGATCCTGACATCTTCTTTTCTGATAGAAATATCGTGTTGTGTACCTTTAGTCCTAATGTCTGGCTCTACCTTACACCTTCGAGAAGGTCCGCATACCCAGCTGTCCAGGAACAATATTTTGGTTAGTATTTCGTGGCCACAAATTTGTATTTCATGGCCCCAATATAGCTACAACGTGCGAACAAATTAGTATTTCGAAATACTACGATATACTTCTTTGTGCACACAAAATACTAATTTGTTTGCACGTTATAGCTGTCTTGAGGCCATGATTTAATTTTATTTTGACCATGTCATGTCTGGGGCTCCATATATTCCTGATGACACACTTCTTTAAGTTGCTGCTGCAGTGATGCTTGAATCAGTCACTTTTTTGTCACATTTTGTCAGAGACAGTGGTAAAGGTTAATGAACAAATGGGCTGTCTAGAAGTAAAATTAATAAAAGAAGTGGATACCCACTGCAACACCACCTACCATATACTGCAACACAGTATTATGACCTAAGGGAGCCTGTTGAAGCTGCTTTGGCTGGCTTATGCACAGACATTGTGCCACTTCGATCAGAAAATTATGTAATAATCACAGAACGTCTGAAAGTTTTGTCACCATTTCATGATGCCACAGTGGAGCTATCTGAGGGAAAAAGGGCTCAGGGTCCAACGTTATTCCCCTGTTGGCTATGCTACACCATGCACTGGAGGAGGAGGAGGATCTTGGAATCCTACAAATTCCAGAGGGCAGAGATGTGGCAGTGAGTCTGAGGAAACAAGTAAAGGACAAACTCTTCATCTTCCAATCAAAGAGCATTACATCACTGGCAACACTGCTGGACCCAAAGTTTAAAAAAAAAAAAGGCTTCTATAGCCCTATTAAAGCCAAGGAGGCAGAGAAGAGGCTAATAGCGGAGTGTGCTGCTGTCATTCGAAACACCATCATCATCATCCTCCTCCACATCATCAGAAGCTTCTCTGCCTGGGACTCAAAGTAATGGATGCATTTCAATTAGTTGATTGTATGTGTTTTCATTGTGTTATTGTATTTAGTCACTTACAGTTGGCTTGTCTGTTTTAGGAGGCAAACTGTGGCATCGTTTGGACGCCACAGTCCAGCAGACAAGAATCCAAAATGAAACCACAGATGCAACAGTGGAGGTCAAAACTTACCTTGCTGAACCAAATGTCAAGAGAAACACCAACACTGAGCATGTACCATGTGCTCCAGCTGCGTATAAGCTCCGTATCTATTCAAATATAAAAGGCAAAAAACATCCAGGCATTTTCTGAATGACGTGAATACACATTGGAAATCTTCATGGTTACATTTTCAGCTGAAATGTTTTCAAAAATGAGTAAAGCGATGTATCAACAGAGCTAGAGCCAGATGTTCAGCAGGTATCTGACCCTGGTCTGCATGCTGGGATACACTGGGCTGGTATACTTCATTGGGAACAGTTTGCATTATAATGGTCACTCTAGTATACAGTATAAACGTTTTGAGTATGTATACGTTAGTAGACCATTTAAAAATAAGAAAACACTGAGAAAATCGCCACAGCTTCTCCACACAGTTGTGCCACTGTCTCTCTTTCATCACCACGGAAATGGAGAGAGAAGCTGTTCTGAGATCACTCTGAAAGTGATCCCAATGATATCTTTCATAGCTATTATTGTTTATTTGTGCTAAAATATGAGTGCATTTACTGTGTTTGGGCTACATGCTCATCATTACTTTCATTTATCTGTAAACAAATACAACTCTGAAAAGGACACATGCAGGAAAATGGCGACTGGTAGAGATAGTGGGTGTATACAAAGTCCTGGGCACATTTTGGATATCATATTTGAAATAGCCTTCAACACTGAGGAGATCCTCAGAAAATGTCAGCAGCAGCAGTATCTGCTGAGGAAGATTAACACTTCTGGTGTCAGCAGAAACATCCTGAGGACAATTTACTTCATTGAGTGTTCTTACATTCTCTATAACCTATTGGTTTCACGCCATCAACCTGCGAAACAGGACCCGCCTGCAGGACACTGTCAAGGTCTGCCGTAAAATCATTGGGCTCCCACTTAGAGCACTTTGCACCCTGTGTGAGCAGCAGACACTGAGGACAGTGAGCAGGATCCTCCAAGACCCCTGACCCGCTTTGTTCCCAGCGTTTGAATGGCTCTGCTGTCCTGGATGCAGGACTCAGAGAAGAAGAGCAACCTTTGTTTCCAGGGCTGTTCAGCTTCTCAACTCCCAACCGTCACCGCCCCCTTGACTCCCTGCACCTCTATGTTTCCTAAATTGCCCCTGGGGGACAAATAAAGTTTTTGAACTGCATATGACAACTCACACTTGAATAAGTACTGTCAATGTGATGTATCAAATTCAAGAGGCTCAGAAAAGGCAATTAATGTAACAGAACTTCTGACCTGTCAAATGTTAGTCCAGGTTAGCAGGTAATAAGAACGTCTAAAAGTCACTGTTTTCTATTTTAATTGTCCAGAACCCTGAGGCAATATGGCAGCAGCACAGATACATGTCAAAAGTATGCATGTATATCTACAGTTCACACCACTTTAATTTGGTAAATTGAAAATATAAAGGCAATACAAAATTAAATAGCACCAATATTTTCATTTTCTTTCCCCATTTTTAACATTTTAACAAGTTACTGTGGACACCAATGAGGATGGAGACATTGTTTATTAAGGCTTGCATTTAAATAAAATTCTGCATAAAACAAAAACACAATATAAATACTTAAGGATGGCAAACATAATGTATTGTATAAGGAAAAAGTATAATTTTGGATTCATGAATCACAACTTAGAAATTATCTATATACACCATTACTACAGTGATTCAAAGGCAACATTAGCTACGACAACCCCCCCCCCCAAAAAAAAAAAAAAAAACGCAGCACAACAGTAACAATTTTGTGGAGGAGCTGAAGACATAATGCAGGTGGTTTTATTTCTTCCTTTAGCTGAAACAGACTACTTTGTAGCTGTTCATCAAATCCAGCAGCTTCTGTTTTATGCTGAAAAATAAGCCGAAGCTGTGGCAGGCTTTGCATGCTGAGGGAACTCTGAAAAAAAAAGAAAAGAAAAAAAATTATTTAAATGACGATAACATCATTCCAATGTGTCAATCAAAAACACATTTCTTCTTCTTTTAATTTCAAAGTGAAAACATCCAAACTAATATTAACACACATTCTAAGGTAAGCACAACCTGGAAGATCTTCACCTTCCTATGTGAAGTGTTTTAAGGTGACATGTGCTGCAAATTGGCAATATATGAATAAAAGTGATTTTTTTTCAAACACTAAACTCTCTGGATTTGCTGTCTTGATATTACCATGATGCCCAGTATCTGATGTGCATCTGTTTTTGTTCACTTTTATAATCAGGTTGTTACGGGTTAATTTGCTCTTTTTCTGGTTAGAGGACAGGCTGTATATTGAGAAAGCAGAGTTTTTCTTCAGATGTATCTGAACCTGTTAAACAATAAAAACTGAAACAATTATTTGGACACAAGGCCTTGAAATACTTCAACTGAAGTTGGATCATCCAACAGCATCTAAAAACTCTGTTCTTGCAGTGGATTTGAGGTATGGAGCTGCTTTCAACAATCTTCAGGACTTTAGTACAACCAAATGCAACACCATGAAAGCCGTCATCTAGATACTGCTAGTATGCACCACTTTGACCTTTTAATATGTTTGTAGGTGATTGGAGAGACAAGAGTGCCATGGTGAATGACTACAGGCCGCTCACAGTTGCCCCCATCCGGTCCATTCAGAACAGATTGAATCACTCTGTTTTCAGGTGGACTCAGATGACAACATGTACAACACTGTTTGTTTCACCTCTGCTGCAGTTTGCTTCTGACTTAATAATTTTGCATGTAAGAATGCACATTCATTCATAATGTCCTGTCCTTTCATTCTATCATTCTGCTTTTCAAGCATTCCTATCCTGTCTGATCCTGTACTGTCCTTTTTGTATATACTTTGTATACAAAATGCAAAAGCATTATTAAGGTATGACTTAGGTTAGGTTGCACATTGCAAACCTTGCAGTAGTAATGCTAAAAGACATGACATTCTCTGTTAAACAGTCATATGAAACCATTATCTACCATTTATGCTGAACACACTAAAGATTTTAATTTATGCAGTGCTCTAATTGAGCAGTTTTACCTTTGTGAAGCAGATTAGTCGACAGACCGTAGACTGGGTTGCTATCATCTCTTCTCTCAAAGTACTTGGAGTCCAGACCTGCAGAGTGTCCACTGAGGAGAAATCACATAAGCTTGAAGAACACTAAATATAATATGCAGTTATGTGACTATATTTTTCTAAAACAAAATCCTACCAGACAGAACAGACATGTACAAAAGCATTTTAAAACAAAAATAACTTGAATCTGAAATATATTTCAGCTTAGGAAAATGTTAACACAGTAACCCCACTTGGATTGAATGTGTTTCACACACCAGTATACAGTGCTGTGAAACAATATTCCCCCCCCAAAATTCATTCATTGCTGCAGTGGTGAGCACAGTCACCTCAGAGCTCGAAGGTCCTAGGTTCGAACAGGGGGAACAAAACTTGATAAATACATCCCTGATATTGTATTCTCTGGAATTCCCGAGGACAGAAATACACACTATGAGTCAGCTGTGTGGCAAGCTATGACTGAACATTTATATAAAATGTCATGTGAAAAAGCTAAGTGCATCACTTTCTAACATGTTCACATGATTGGACAATTTTCTGGTGGTAGGCTAAAACCCACTGTACTTTGTTTTGAGCATTTTAAACAAAAGGAACTCGTTATGAGCAAGGGCAGGGACTTCAGGAGCAGGAGCACTGGAGACTAAATGTAAGCATCTCATTGATTGTTGACAGTCTGTACATAAATAATAACTTCCACAAGGACTCAAAAGTAACTCTGTGGTTATTCTAGATGTGTGCAAAGTCTAAAGGGTTGTTTAACCCGGGACTCATGTTTATTTTATTTGAGATGCATGAAGGAACGGGAATGGAGGAGGAGTGTAGTTGATGTTGCAATTGGTAATTTGGTGTGTTTTAACACCTCCACAACTAAATATCTCCTATTTGGAGGATCAGTGTAGCAGCACAGATGAAGTAACAAGGGAAATCATAGAAATATTTCTGTTGGCTGACTTCAATATTAATTGGACTGACACAAAAAAAACACATATAAAGAAATGTAACTTAAGCAAGGTAGTTATGAGTGCAACAAGATTTTTTTACTAGAAACACTAGAAAATTGAGACAAGAATTGATTTGAAACAATGGCACGAAGAATAAAGCCAAGACAGCATAAGAATGGTATCTGGATAAGGACTGGACTGTCCTTGACGGGTCTAGTTAAGGCCTACATCCCATACACCATCTGTGGACAGACTTGAGGAAAGGACTTCACAGACAGTGTGATGAGATTGAAAGGTTCTGCAGAATTAGGTGTGCAAACATACCCCAGAAGACTCGGCGCGGAAACTGCAGACAATAGTAGCTTCTAACAAGTACTGAATTAAGAAGTTTATATGTTCAGTAATATATGATGGCACATATAAGAAATGAAACAGTGTGAATACTTTCTAAATCCTCTGTATACATGTGGAAAGCAAGCAAACACCGAAACTCACATTTGTCTTTTAGTTGGATGTCCTGCTCGATGTTCAGCAGCAGGAGTGATGTCAGCAGCTGCCACAGGTGATACAGCAGGATTGCCTATCTGAGGATAAAACTGTGCCTGGAAAAATAGCGTTGCTTTAAGTTAGTCAGTAAGATTGTATATAATAACTTATTTTTCAGATGTTGCAATAACTTTACTCCCCAACAGGTTTGACATAAAATACAGACTATTACATTAGCTGAAGTTGTGTTGTATATTGGATGGTTGGCTTAACAGTACTTGATTTGCAGATCATGTTTACAACAGTGTGTTAGGGGTAGGGTAATGGTCAAACAGCTAATTATTATGATGATACGGTATAGTTGTAAGCACAGCCACAAAGTATCTCTTACCCTCAGGCCTGTTGTTGTGGATAAAACTGAAGGATTCACCAAAGATTCAGGAGACTGTGACCTTCTGGACAGCTGCTTTTCATTTAGCTGCTTGTTAAGCCAACTTATAACTGTGGTAAAAGAAAAATATGAGATGAACATGGTGTTAAATACTGCCAAAATATGTGTTTTTATTGCAATATGCCTAATTCTCTTTAAACTGCTTTTCTTTCCAAAAAGAAGAAGAAAAAAAAAAGACCCATCCCTACTTCCTGTCACTGTGCACAAATATCACAGGAAATGAATGCTGCCGTCTTAGTAGCTCCCTGTACACTTAGTAACAGCTAGCTCGCTAACCAGCTACATATCACCTACTTTTTTTCCCTGTATTGACTGGTTGTTTCTTGCATTCACTAAGTCTACAAACTCCTAAAAATATAGGTGAGTACAGTTCAAAACAGCAGACTGCCCTCAAATAAGATGGCTTCATGCTTCTTTCAACGGTTTTTATTTTAATTATTCAATGTTGGCGAAGTACTCCTTATGAAAACTTTCTGATAATAGATGTTCATACTAATTTTTGCAAGTATGTTTTGGAAGCAAAACAAACTAAACTCACAAACAGCTTTATAGGGACTACGACATACATATACAGTACATCGCAATACTGACCAAAACGTGTCCAAGTCAATCACTAAAAACTACTGAGTACCTAAGGCTGACAGGCAAACTTATCAAAAAAAGACACTTTTAAAAAAAAAAGTTTTTTTCTAACAAGGTAATTGTTATTCTTGACAGAGAGGTTTTTTTTGTCTGGGTGGATCTTAAATACTGAGGGACTGAAAAGCATCATCTAACTCACCTACAGTATCATTATACCACATCAGGAAAGTAGTAAAACTAAGTTTCTCACCATTCTCATTGGTTTTTAACACTTCTCTGCTTTCATTAAGCTTCTGTACTGTCATCTCCAACTGCTCCTTCAGTTTTGAAACCTGCAAGATAGAAGGAATATTGTGGTTTTTCACATTGTAACATTTTTTTTCGATTTTTGTATTCACCATTTTAATTATGGTGGCTAATTCAACAAGTCAAGTTTTTTGAGGCACCTGGCATCTTGGAAAATGTGCAACTGTTCTTTTGTGGATTTAGTCTGTCTCACCACCATGCAATCCCAGACTGATTCCATGACGATGAGACCAAGACTCTTGCTCAGGGGAGGCCATATCATCTTTTTTTTTGTTTTCTTTAATTTTGTTTGCACAACTTTGCAGCACACATTGCAGGTAGAAAATTACAAAAAATAGTACAACTGCCACAGTATTTTGGTTACAATATTTAAGGTTGCCATTCCCCTCCTATGCTCTGCCCACCGCAGCCCTCCCTTCAACCCCAAGGCCCAGATCTTACATATGTGATTGTACAATGTGTGGTCAATCTAAGATTGCAAAAATGGCAGACATTAAGTGCTGTGACAAAGTATTTGCCCCTTTCTCAAATTCTTATTTTTTTAAATATTTCTCCCACCTAAATGTTTAAGATTGTCAAACAAAACTAAATATTAGACAGAGATAACCAAAGTAAACACAAAATGCAGTTTTTAAATGATGATTTAATGTTTTAAGGGAAGAAAGCTATCCAAACCAACCTAGTCCTATGTTAAAAAAAAAAAAAAGAAAAGTAATTGCTCCCCTTGTTAAATTATGAATCTCACTTTTTTTTGGAAAGCTGAGTTCAATGTCACTGACCACATCCAAGCCTGATTACCTCCAGACCTGTTCAATCAAGAAATCACTTCAATAAAACCTGTCTGACAAAATTAAGTCAGCCAAAAGATCTCAAAAAGCTGCAACAAAATGCTGTGATCCAAAGAAATTCAAGAACAGATGAGAAATAATAGTAATAAACATCTATTACTCTGGAAAGGGTTACAAAGCCATTTCTAAAGCTTAAGGACTCCTGCGAACCACGATGACAGCCATTATCACACACTGCATTGTCTCTAAACCATCCTCCTAACCTTCAAGGCCCTTCATAACCTCGCCCCTCCATACCTTACTGAACTCCTCCATTTAAACACACCCAACTGGACCTTCAGATCATCTCCCTCACCATCCCTCCTGCCTGCATGACCACCATGGGGTCCAGAGCCTTGAGCTGCTCTGCCCCCTGCCTCTGGAACTCCCTTCCACCTGACATCTGAAACAGTGACTCTCTGGCCATTATCAAATCACGTCTCAAAACCCACCTGTTTAAAAAAGCCCACTCAGTTTGATTTCCATTCATCTCACTGTTCTGTTAAATTTCCTCCTTTTAAGTTTTAAATTATTATGCTTTTAACTTTGCCTAATGTTGCTTGTAAGGTTTCCTTGAGTTTTTTGAACGGAGCATATAACTAAAATGTAATATTGTTGTTGTTGTTATCTATTTGGAAGATCCATTTGCGCCAAAGCTTTAACTTCCTGGCTGATGTCTTGAGATGTTGCTTCAATATTTCCACATAATGTTCTTTCCTCATGATGCTATCTATTTTGTGACTTGCACCAGTCCCTCCTGCAGACCTGCACATCCCCAAAACATGATGCTGCCACCCCCATACTTCACAGTTGGTATGCGCGCACACACACACGCACACACATACTCGCATTTGTCCCTCTTTGGGGCCCCACGTTTTTTACCCAATTGTGGGGCCCACCCTTTCCCATGGTCCCAGACCTCTGTAAAAAATCACACAAGCTTAAAAAAAATTAACAAAATTTTCAGTCACTTTAGATTAGCCATATTCGAAAGTTTTTTGTCTATGCTAGTTATTTTGGTCACT